TGGTATATTGTTTTCAGAATGATAATAAGGAAGATTAGGGTTGCCATATGTCCTCTTTTTTCCAGGCCACATCCTCTTTTTCATTGGTAGAGTCATCATAGCGATCCATAGTTAAAAGTAGAAGTCTGCAAATGTGTCATATTTTTTTGCTCTTCAGAATATGGCAACCCTACCTGAAATTTATACTTCTTCCCCCCGCTTCCCCCCAAAAGTGGCAGGCAACAATTAAACTTGTTGGGCACTTTAGCAACTGTTTTCCACTCCCCTGGCCCTTGCATTCCATGCCTCTACCACTTCCCTGCTTCTGGCAATATGATTTGTGACCTTTCCATACCCATTGTTTCTCAGTAAGCTACACAACTCAGTGGCTTGTCTTTCCACCAAGGGTTGCTAAGGTAGCAAAGAACAATAACAAATAAAATTGTTTCTGATTAAAATACAAAGAGGAATTGCAGTAAAACAGAGTTTGATGTGGACAGAAAGGGCCCTTTCAGTTTTATCATTCATCTCCTGTGATGGTTCACCAAACACCTCCTTCATGGAGACATTTGGGGGAGATTGATGGATGGATTTACTCAGTGCTTTTTTTCTATATATATAAAAAATGTTTAGGGGTACTCTCTTTTTGACTCAAGGAAATCAACATTTTATAGAAATAGACCTGTGGGGGGGGGGGGAGGGAGAGAAGGAAGTTCCACTGAAGCAGTCTCTGGGGTGGCCTTTTGCTGCCTGGAATAATTATCACTGGACAGTTGATGGTACATGGTCCTGTGTGTTGTTGAGGAGGGGCAGTTTAGCTGGAAGAAGCTCTGAGGTGGTCATTGTCTGCCTCTCTCTTTCTCCAGGAATTATTCCCATGGGAAGTTGATGGGAGGGTGTTTGAATAGGTGAAGCACATTTCTTTTAAGGCTATTTAATTTGCTTTGAAAATTGACATGATTACAAACGTATGTGTACCCTTACTTCTGGGTAACCTATATCAAGGCTGCTAGATTTCTCACATCAGAGTTAGATTTTTCAGGAAAAGTTGCCTAAAGAAACCCCTTCCTATTGCCAAAATTTAATTAGACGTTTTTTAATGAAAGTCCATTACAGTTGAGACAATTTCCCTAGATAACACCCACAATTGCATTTCTAAATATGTGTATGTATACAAATATATAATTGCATATCATTTTTAAATGTCTTTCTTAAACTTATCCCTTTGGATTAACATAACTGTCAAATGTATTTAAAATATCTAAATGGTTGGTTTGTAACATGTACGTTCAGAATGAGTTGCTTTTCTCTTTGAGCAAAATGATGAATTCTTATGGACCCTCAGGAAATAAAATGTTGAAATGAAACTCTTTATTCACAACACAGGTAAGATAATACTTTTGTTCTGCTTAACTGTATATTTGCATCAGGATTTCAGAAGTGTTTTCAATCACTGAGTCTTTTTCTTTTCTTTTCCATTTCACATACCTTATAGACAAGTAGATTCTTTCTGTTGTGTTCTTCAAGCTTCCAAACGTATGCACATTTCTCTGGGCATAGAGCTCACAGAACTAAATATTTATTTATCTATCTATTTAAAACATGTATATGCTGCCCTTAAGTGAAAAGACTCTCTTAAGGCATCTTCCATAGAATGCCAATATGCCACACAATCAGAAATAAATTAATAAAACAGTCTTTCAGCAAATATTAAAAGAAAGAAACATCCTGTTCAGAATTAAACCAGAACTATAATTAAGACCAGACATAGCCAAAAGCGTGATATTCCCTTTTTAAAAGTAGTTAAAACAATTTGTATTTTGTAGCACCTGTAACAATGCCAGTTCAGCAGATTGAAGCAGTTGATTCAAAAACTAGTTGTCATGATGGTTTATTTATTTTGACTTTATTATAAAAAATATTTCTAAAATACATAGATTGGGGTAGAAAGAACAGCAGAATAATACAAACAGGGATAAGAAACACCCCGCCGCTGTTCCCTCATTCTAAATGAATCCCTTAGTGTAATTATACTTCACTTGTCTATTTTACCGATCTGGATATGGGTAGAAAAATGAGTCTTTTATATAGCAATGCAAGCAAGGAAACATCATGGTTCATTCCATCATTGAAGGAAAGCTTGTGACATATTCAGCTGTTGTTCACACATTGAGATACAAGCCCTAAGTGGATACCAGACCACATGAAAGTCCAGTAGCTTAGATTTTCCTTTGACTAGTTTCAGTGTAAAAATCAATTTCTTTGCTATTGTTTTATCTATTTGACCAAGCATCAATTGTTTACACTTTCTCTAATTTTGAATTTTTAGCTACCTCCATCCATGCTGCCACTTCAGTTATTTAGATATTTCTAAACCATACTTCCTTAGGAAATATATGTAACAATGCCATAGCAATGTGGTGGACAGCATAAGCAGTGGGAGCGAATATTTCCCCTCCTGTTAGAAGCTGACCTTCCTGCAATTGCATTCCCCCATCTTCCGATTCAGACCAGCCCCTGACACAGGCCCAGTTTGGATCCAACTACTGCAGCAACTCTTGTCAGGGCTGCAGATGCAGCCATGGCTCCATTAATCCCTGCCATCATGTAAAGCCCAACCACGAAGCATCTGAAGTTGGGATTGTGACCTAAGGCTGGTCTTGTAACGTTTATTGTTGCATGTTGCCCCTTTTATTTTTAAGGGTGCATGAAATACTTGCATGCACAAGAGAAGAAGACATTGGAAAGTAGCGTAGGAGTGACAGTGGGAACAACAGAAAAATGAATAAATCTGTATAGCATCTACAGACCTCCAGACACTGTTTTGGATGGCAAGTGACAGAATAGCAATGAATAATCAAAGGCAAAAATTCTGTTCTTAGGTCAAATGCCAGTTAAAATAAATATTTGAAATATTTAAATATGTAAAGAGGAATGTAATATTAATAATGTTCATTTTGTAAACTCATAATTGAGCAATTTATCTTAGCTATGTGAAATTTTGTTCTGTTCTGGAGAATGGAACTTTTTTCTATGTTAGAATATGGATTCCCAAGACTGATAAAATGGGGGTGTGTGGAAGCCAATGTACAGAATGTGCACATAGAAAGATTGAATCTGCACAACCCATGAAGCTTACAAGACCTCAGCATAAAAATGTCCTCAGTTTTGTGATCAAATAATCAGATAAAGCATGATATGTCAGAATTTTTAGTACAGGATTATTAATTCAGAAGCTTTATATCTAAACTTTCTACTTAACAACACAGTCCTCAGATGAACTAATAACATTCAAGACACGGTAAAACAATCAACAGTAAAGCAGTTAAATATATACAACCATACCAACAGCCACAAAAGCATGGCAGGTAACTAGATCACAATCAGCCAAATGTCCTAAACTTAATGGAAAGCCACCAGGAACAAAATAATTTTCATGTGGCATGGGGAAGAAAGCTAAAAATAGGGAAGATGGAATGAACAACTGGGGCTTACAGAAAGAAGCATTTTTACCATTGCGGGTTAACCTAGCATGCACCTATGTCAGGATGCAGAGAATGGCCACCACAACAAATACTTGAGTGTGGGCATGAATTTTGTTTCTGGGCTTACATGACACAATGATTGATAAATATGGAATTTGTAGTAGCTGAGGTTTTGATAAGGGGAACTGTAAAACAATTTTGTTTTTTTTTCTGTCATTATCATCTCTTCAGACTAAAGGGATCCAAATATGGCACGAGAGAATCACACTGCGTTTTCTGACTTCATTCTCCTTGGATACTCAAATCTCCCAGATCTCCAAGGTTTGCTCTTTTCTGTGTTCCTGATCACATATTCAGGCATTCTAATTGGAAATGGACTAATCATTTATGTTACAATATCCGACCCTGCCCTTCACACTCCTATGTATTTCTTTTTGAGGAACCTGTCTTTCCTGGAGATCTGCTACACCTCAGTCACTGTGCCGAATATGGCGGCCAATTTAGTGGCAGAAAAGAGCAACATTTCTTTCATTGGCTGTGCTGCCCAGATCTACTTCCTACTTATACTAGGAGGCACAGAGTGCTTCCTATTGACTGCCATGGCTTATGACCGATATGTAGCCATATGTAACCCCTTGTATTATAAGCTCATCATGAACAAGCAATTCTGTTTGGTACTCATCACTGGATCATTGGTTGTCAACATGTCCATACATGCAGGACAAATATATCTAGTGTTCACCTTGCCCTTTTGTGACTCTCATGAAATTAATAACTTATTCTGTGATGTACCCCCACTGCTTGATCTGGCCTGCGCTGACACCAATGTTAATCAGTTAATTGTGTTTGCAGCTGCCGTAGTTTTCTTGATCATCCCTTTTTCCCTTATCTTTGCTTCTTATGTGAAAATAATTTCTGCTATTCTGAAGATGCCTTCAGCAGACGGTCGGAAGAAAGTGTTCTCCACTTGCTCCTCACACCTTATTGTCGTATCTCTCTTTTATGGCTCAGCAACTATTGTATATTTGAGTCCTAGGTCAAAGGAGACAGAAGACATTAATAAGTTGCTATCCTTGTTCTATACCATTTTAGTTCCTATGTGTAACCCAATCATATATAGCCTGAGAAACAGGGAAGTGAAAGTGTCCCTGAGAAAATTGCTGGGTAGAAAAATGTGATACTACAGAATAGTAGTATTCTAACACCAAAGACATTTCAGTGGCAAGGAGAGATTACAGATATTGAAGGAGAAGATTCCAGAAACAAGTGGGGGCTCCAACATATGTGTGGGGGGGGGGCTATGACAGATTACCCCTGAAGAAATGTCACTCTTGACAGAGAAAGCGATTCCCACCTCTAAGGTGAATCAAATTATAATGTATTAAGTTCAATGTGCTTAAATTTTCAGTGTCACTGTAAAACAGCAATGTTCTGTGTTTTCCATGCAGCCATTCTTCAGCTGTAATCCTTTGCAATTTTACCATACAAAGCATATCTGCTTAGAAGTAGAACTCATTAGGGTCAACAGACTTTAGAGTCCTGTGCATAGTTATGTTGGTAGAGCATGAGACTCTTAATCTCAGGATTGTGGCAGGTTCAAGTCCCACACCGGGCAAAAGATTCCTACATTGCAAGGGGTTGAATTGGATGACTCTCATGGTCCTTTCCAACTCTGTAGTTCTTTGAGTCTATGACTTATTCCCATTTATTTTTAAAAAATAGGATTTCAGTCTAAATAAATAAATGTTTTGTCTTTTCATTAAAAAATACATGAAGCTCCCTTGGCTGAAACCTGCAAGCACTCCCTTCAGTATTGAAACCCACAGCAACTGGCACACATTAAGCAAACCAACCTAAGGATTGACTGAAAGATGAACACACATGCACACTTTACATTCAGATACAAAATCTGAGGAATTCTGGATCTTCAATATCTTCCAAAAGAACAATGACAGCACAATAATATTTGGGATGCGTGCCCTAACGTAATGATTCTCAAACATAAAGCAAGACGTGAACCTGTACACATCACTAGATTACACGCCATTATGCAACAAACCATGGCTCGCAGTAAAATAACTTCTTTAGAAAGTATTGTGTTTGAGGTCACGCAAAAATTCCATCTCTGATCATCAAAGTAGGGTTAAGGAAAAAAGGGTATCTTGAAGTTATTCATACTATTTGTGAGTAGCGAACGGGGTCGGGAGCATTTCACCAAATACGCCAAATACGATTAGCGGGCTTGACATTCTACAATGATTAGTGTGGGGTGAAAAAAAACATTAGCAGCAAACTCTTCTGAAAATGTTGACTTTCTTAGGCTGCAGTCCAAGTATGAGGGAAAGGGTGGAGCCTGTCTACCTTATCCAATATCCTTCTGGACTCTTGCTGCAAAGATGAAAATGAAAGCACCTTTCCTGATATTTAGTGGAGGATTTTAAAGGAAGTCTCCCTCTCATTGGATACAATGGGATGAAAATAAAAGGGAGCAAACTATGCCAGTTATTGAATGGACATCATTGCGTGACCAGGCAGTGACAGCCCCAGCCCCCAGGGATCATAAGGAAGGAATAAAGACTCTGACAAGATTATATGGAATTAAAATTAGGCCACAACTTTATTAAACTTCCAAATGTAGGAAGACCTTGGCTTACGCCTTGGGCATGTATCCCTCCCAACCCCCCAGCTGGGGGGGACTGGGGCTCATCAGGGTAAATGGGATATGGGGGTGCTCTGTGAGACGTAAGTGTAGCAGGCAGCCCAGCCCATATCCCCTGCATGCAGTGTACTTCACTGACGACCTTTCAGTGTATGGCCAGTGGCACCCATATATATAACCCCTTTAAGAGGGGGACACTGGAATCACTGATGCAGGGGGGTGAGTCACCACTTCACGCCCCCACCCCATCCCATATAGGGAAGAAAAGACTGAAGGATTCCACCCAAGGCCATAACCACCAAAATTGTGACAAATTGCTACGGGGAAGACAAAACCTGCCAATGCAGGAAAATTTCTTCCTTCAACAGCAACCAGACAAAGAGCATAGCAGCACCCGCTAAACAGGAAGAAAAAGTTAACCTGCAAACAAGAAACATTAAACAAAAGAATGGTAGAGAGGGTGAATCTCCAGAGCCGACTGTCTGGCTATTGTTGGCTCCACCCCCTATTTATAAATGGGGTTGGCCCCACTTCTCAGCAAGAAACTTGATTACTGAGGCTGTGCATAAGCCTCTGAATAATAACACTGAGAAGCAAGCCAGCCCCCTTTTACCACTAAGCACCCTGGGAATTGTAGTCCCACGCACGATCCCACAAAGGGCACTGACATTATGAAGTGTGAGTGCTCATTATAATTGTTTGGGAGGTTTTGTGCAAACAAATGCCCATAAAAGATTAGAGCTTTTGCAATAATGGAAGTGATCGAGAATTGTGTGAGACAGCAGACATTTTGATGCAACATCAGCTACGCTCTCTGCAAACAAATCAGAATCACTGCTCATTAAATAGCCAGTGTTGACTAAAGTTAAACCATTGGAGAGTTACAGTGCATGCTGTGACTGTAGAGATCATTGACCAATATGAGGGAGACATATTTTATTGCAGATGGGACAAATTAAGGCGTCTGGTTTTGCTGCTGCAAGTGCACCATGCCACTTTTTCTTTCTATGCCCCTCCCAGCCTTCATTTCTCTTCTGGTCACTTCTGTGGATCCATGACCTGACTGTTTCCAGGCACTGTGACCGTCTGCAAGGGATTCCCACATGGCAGGGTTAATGCTGCCAGCATTCATGTCATCTTTGCAGACATCTTTGTAATGCACAATTGGTCTTCCAACAGGTCTAGTATCTGAAGCAAGCTCCCTGTAGAGCATGTCCTTGGGGATCATGCCATCTTCCATTCTGTGGACATGACCAATAGTGCAAATGTCACTGAGACAGAAGTGCAAACATGCTGGGAATGCTGGGTGGAGAGAGCATATCTTTGTTTAAGACTCTCTCCTGCCATGTGATGCCCAAAATCCTCCTGACACCATGTATATTGAGGTGCCACTGCTGGTTGAAGTTGCCTATGATTCACTTCCATAAAGCAGAGTGCTCAACATACAGGCCTTTGTATTTCACCTTTGTATTTGACGTTAGTATCATATTCTCCCATACCTTTTTGGAGAGGCGAGCTATTGCTGTATTGCCAATACACTTGCCAATACACAGCATCATTGGAAAAGTTGGTGGTTACTCTGGAGGCCAAGTAGACAAAATCGTCTACCATCTGCCTGGAGTACCGGTGACGATGTCCTGACCTAGGGTGTTGTTCTTTGTCAGGTTGATAGAGAGGACAAACTCCATGCAGGTTTGGGCAAAATGGTCAATGAGTCTCTGTAGAGCTTCTTTAGAGTTCTCCAGTCTTGGCGCAGAGACATGCCAGGTTGAACAGACCCCATCGCTCCTTAAATGGGATGGAATGGTAATACAGACTGTCTTCAGTGAAGCTGAAAGCATATGAGAACAACAAGGAGAAGAATTTGCCAAAGAGAGTTGGGACAAGAACACAGCCTTTTTCACCACTCTTTATAGGGAAAGCATCCAAGGATGAACCATTACACTGGATGTGCCAGACATATTTTCATGGAAGGACATGCTCATCTTGTGGGCGTCCAGCTCTTCCAATGCTGTCTTCGTGCCTTCATACATTTTGCAAATGTTGCTGCTGTCAGCAGCAAGTTGAACGAGTTGACACAACTTCAGCCAATAGTTATTGACATACCCACTGGGCATCACTCCTTGCCTTTCTCAAGGCAGCATTTCCAAAAGGAAACACAGAGCCTGTGTTACACGTCATCCCCAATCTTTACAACAATGCGAGATTACAGGGAGTTCCCTGGAATATTACACTGCTGTAGAGATTGTGGGTGTTATATAACAATATGCTAAGTAAGTAAGTAAGTAAGTAAGTTGCATGAAAACAGTTCCTGGTTCAATCCCTCACTTCTCCAGTCAGAAGGATCATGGAGCAGATGATAGAAACTCACAAACCCACTGCTAGTCAGATAGACCAGGGGTAACCAGCCCCCTAGGTATTTTGCTTCATCAACCTCAGCTCATGATGCTAGTGGTCCAGGATGATGGGAATTTTAGTCAAACATCATTAAGAGGATTCCACATTAGCTACTCCTGTATTAGACTACACTAGACGAGATGGACAAATCAGCTGACTTAGTATAAGGTAGCTCCATATATTCATACACAGAATCAAGTTTTCTGTCAGTGACAGAGTTGGGGGGGGGGAATGCAGAATTATTTTTACTTTGAAGTTAATTTAAAGCCAGTCAACGTTTTAGGTGTGTAAGACAGACCATAGTAAAAAATCTCTCTCTCTCCTGAGACCTTTGGGTAAAGGATGGGTAATAAGTTCAAGAAAAATACAATCATTAAAAAATCCAGTATCCATTGCTCTTAGCCAACACAAATAGTAGAGCTTTGTTCCTTGAAGTTTCTCATTACCGTATTTTATTAGGAAGGCTTTGCTTTCTTTGGCTGTATCCTTGTGCTCACAGTCACAATCTAGGGTGCTGCCACCCATGGTTAAGCTCACTGAATACAAAGTAGCTGTGTGTACCACCCCTTTCCCTAGGGTCCGGTATGGTTTCAGGCTGGCTGAGGACTACATGTTGAGATTACTGCACTGTGGGAGGGGTCAGACTAGATGCCCACCAGGTTCCCTTCCAAATCTACAATTCTATGCATTTATGATTTTCATTGCATGATATACCAATGTAGTATATACAACAAAGCTCACAACTTTAAGAAGATCCCAAATTTAGGGTGATTAGTAAGTGCACAACAGCCACTAAAAATAAAAAGTAAAAATTAGAACAATATTTTCCTCTTTGTCATTCTCTTCATTGCCTTTTTTACCTCTGTGTTCCTCAAGGTATAAATGATGGGGTTTAGCATTGGTGTTATAACAGTGTAAAAAAGGGAGAGGAATTTATCTCGTTCTAAAGAATAACTGGATTTGGGCTGCAAGTACATAAAGCTGGCTGTGCCATAGAAAAGTGTCACCATGATGAGGTGTGAAGAACAGGTGGAGAACAACTTCTGCCTACCTGTAGCTGAAGGCACCCTTAATATGGTGCCAAGGATGCAGGCATAGGATATGAGTATGAAGACGAAAGGTATCAGAGTGATGATCAAACTGCTCACTAGCATCACTGCTTCATTCAGAGATGTATCAGTACAGGCTAGCTTCAAAACTGGTGGGAAGTCACAGAAGAAATGGTTGATCTCGTTAGAGCCACAGTATGGCAAGCTGAATGCCCAGCTTGTATTCACCAGCGGAAGAAGAATGCCACACAGCCATGAAGCCAAAGTTAGGCGGACACAAACGCCTTTGGACATCAAAACCATATAGTGCAAGGGGAGGCATATTGCAAGGTACCGGTCGTAAGACATCACAGCCAAGAGGAAGCACTCTACTGTTCCTAGGAATAAAAGAAAATACATCTGGAGAGCACAGCCACTGAACGAGATGGACTTGTCTCTTGAAACAAGGTCATGCAGCATCTTGGGGAGGGTGACAGTGGTGTAGCAAATCTCCAGGAGCGATAGCACTCT